ATTGTAAGAAATCATTTTTATTTTATATTATATATGAAGGAGTATAGTTATCCCTATGTTTTTGGCGGGTACCCTAGGTTATTTTGCGTTCAGAAATACATGATTATATTATTAGAGTTGGATATTTTTATGGTTCTATAACCATTTTTCTTTATTTATTTTTTATGCTGTGTTGAAATTTATCTGCCATTTGAAAATCTGACAGGACTTGACATGATAAGGTTCAAGGTGGGATCACCTTGAATTCAACACATAAGTTTTACACATATGTCATAAAAACACACCAATTACCTCCAGAACACTTCCCATCCTCTTCAAGTCACACATACAGGCTTGATACAACCAAAATTCAATACACTTCCAACCTAACCTATGGGAACACCTCTGTGATTGCATTTGCCATGTAAGTTTCAAAAATGGTCCCCTGGTGATCCAAGGCCACTAAGGATACAGGTGATCTTCACAGTCCCACCACCTCTTCCATTCCTCCCTCCACTGCACAATCTGAAACTGACCGACCACCAGGTAAAAAAAAGGCCAAAGCCAAGTTTTTTGATGTGAAGGTCTTGAATGAAATGGCTACTGCTCAATTTCCGATGACCAATCAATTGAGAATACAAAAAAGTAAATCTTCAAAACAGAGTATGGCTATTCAATTGCTTGCTGAAGCTGTGGTTATGAAAAAATACCTTACTGGTCTTAATAATATAACCCAAGAATACTATTTGTTTCTATTCAATCATCATTGCACAATTATATACAAAAAGAAAGGAATTTATTAAGAGTTTGATTGACCTTTCAGAGCCCACAGATGCATGATTAAATTGTTTCTGATTCTTTTGTGCTTCTCAGTGTTTCTGAGAGCATGGAAGTTGGATATTAACTGTAGAAAGTTGGCTTGATCATTTGAACACTTTACTGGGGCCAAAATGATTTCCAAGCAGTGTTAACTTGAATCCAAAGGGTGATTATCATTTTGGAGTATGACAATCTTTCATTATTGATTGTAGATTCCTGTGACTCCATGTTTGTGCAGGTTGTTCTAAAATAGTGAATTGAGCTTGGAGGAAGCCCAAGGCCCTTTCAACATCTTTCCAACAAGCCTCTTGAATTTTTGCAGAGTGCTTCCTTTTGAGTCACTGTGGTTGAGATCCCGCACCCAGGCAAACGGGGATGACTCCTCATCCTGCAATCTACATACTCAGACAAGCCATTCACCAGAACCCCAGAACCATCCTCCTCTCCAAGAACAGGCCTTAACATCCTGTCTGGTTACTTCTTCCAGGACCATTTTCAGCGCCTGAAATATAAGTGTGAGCAAAGCATCAAAAAAAAAAGTGAAAGAAAAAGATATATGGAAGGTTGAAAATAACTTTTCTTTTTCCTTGAAATTGCCCAGCCCATCATCTGGTTGGGCAAATATTCCACTCCCAGTGCATACAATCCAGGGATCTGGACATCCCTGGAAAGCCTCATTCCTCTCTAATAGCCAGAAGCCACTTGAGATTGTGTTCTTTGGTTCTTGAAGATACTTGGAGGTGTAGATTTGAACAACAGAATTACAAACCACAAGATGCTCTCATTTGAAGTTGATTTGCCCAGGCAAAGATGCTCATTGTTGAAGTCCAATGCTCTGTGGTATGCAAGCATGCAGATGGCTGAGGTGATCTTCTGCAAGGGTGTGTATCCCGTTTTAAAGCTTCTTGGCAGATTAAGCGGCCAGGGCAAGATCCACCATGTGGAAGGGAGGCTGCCGGTTGTCCGTGGAGATGGAGCATCAGATCGCTTGTGTTGAGCATCAAGTGCTGGTGGATTGTGCTACTTTGAATAATCATTTGTTGATTGGCAATTAAAATGGGACAGGACCAAGAGGATAGAGGTAAAGATATTCAATGTCTGGACAGGATAATGATCAGGGGTTGGTTTTGCCAGGGATTGAGACTTTCACAACCATTTAGTTCAAAGTTAGCACCCTGCAGTGGTTGGCAAGGTTGGATGGTGGTGCTAAACAGGCCACACAGCTGACTCTGCCAGATAACAACTTGGATTCAAACACAAACTCTTTTTTCCCCACTGCAGTAGGTCCAAAACTTGCTATGTCCCATGCTGCGCCATACTAAAGGGTTCTCTGGCTGCGGAAACATAAAACATATCGACCACCCCAGGGCTCGAACCTGGAATCTCCTGCTTGCGATCAAGATCGTAGGCAGGCGCCTTGACCATTGGGCCAGGCAGCCTTGTATGAATGAGTCGTTCCATTTTTTGATTCTAATCCTGATAGTTTTTTTCTGCCCCACGCTCTAGATCGAAGGCACTATTTTGTTTATCCGAATATGTTCGAATTTCCGAATTGAATTTTCCTAATGGTACCCACTTCAACCACCAAGATACCCACATCCTTCCCGAACGCCGAGTTGATCAAGTCGGAGGCGTTCTTTGCGGGATGAACAGTCTTCTTCTCTCCAGACCGGCATTACGAGCCGCCGTCTGTCTCTCCAAGCAGCCGTATTCAGTCAAGTCAGCATTCCATCTCAAACCTAGCATATTGCGATCGCTACCCTCATTCCGAAGCTCGCAGCCTTCCAAGAACTCGATCGAATGGGTTCATCGATATCAATCGAGCGGCCCTCGTGACGCACATCCACCCACCATACCGTCGATAGAACTGAGGACGGCGGAGAAGAACCCCAAGTCGACGAAGCTGATTGAGCGAATACAGCCGTATCTTGAGCTGTCCAGAGTACGCGCACCGATCGGCACCGTCTTACTCTTCCTCCCCTGCGGCTCATCCCTTGCCCTCGCAGCCTCCAGCGGGGCCGTGACTCCTCAATTCTTAATCTCTCAAACTTTTCTATTCGGCTTGGGGGCGTTCGTGATGCGTGGGGCGGGATGCACTATCAACGATCTCTGGGACCGCTCCATCGATAGTCAAGTCTCTCGCACTCAACGAAGACCTCTGGCCTCCGGTGCCATTTCCCCCACCCATGCTGTCGCTTGGCTCGGCTTGCAACTCTCGATCGGCTTGGCTATCTTACTTCAGCTGAATGTGTATAGCATCCTGCTGGGTGCTTCGTCGCTCTCTCTGGTCATCATTTATCCTCTCATGAAACGCATTACCCATTGGCCACAGTTGGTACTAGGTAGTCACTCTTCACTCCTCCCAATATAGATAAGAAGGTGATTCACGCCAGCTGATCAACATCTGTTTCAGGGCTGGCATTCAACTGGGGCGCATTGCTTGGGTCATCAGCGATACTGGGGCAGACGGACTGGAAAGTAGCGATTCCATTATATGTGGGACATACGTGCTGGACGATAGTGTATGATACGATCTATGCGCAGCAGGATAAGAAGTCGGACATCCTAGCGGGTGTGAAATCAACGGCGCTGCTATTTGGCCCGCGGCCCAAGCCGATACTGGCGGGCTTTTCGACTGCCTTCGTCGGCTTGACAGCTCTCAGCGGCTTCATGAATGGCTGTGGTGTCCCCTTTTACTGTCTCGCCGTCCTCGCACCCGCCCTCCACCTCTCCCATATCCTCAGGAATCTCAATCCCGACTCGCCTTTCAACTGCCATCATAGCTTCATCGCCAGCGCTATCACTGGCTCACTGGTTTGGCTCGGCTGTCTTGTCGATTATTGTCTGCGCGTCCTTCCCTGTTAATTGCTACACATAGAGTTTGTACTTTCCTTTTTTCTATATATATTCATATATTTAATCCACTCCAGTAGTGGGTCAATGTGTGATGATGATGTACTCTAGAAATCCAAATTGGAATAATAATCACCATTCATGCTAAGGGATCAAACCTGCGATGTTGCAAAATGCACCACCAGTGAATGACAGGCGGCTTGTAGATGATGAGTGTTGAAATTATGTTATTCATGCCCAAATAGAGTTTCACAGAATTGTTGTTCCTTTTTAATCATTATTGAGCTGTGCCTTATGACCACAAATTGGCCCTGTTGTATCTAGTCTAATTAAGCGGCATGACTAGATTAAATAAACCTCATCTGTCACATTTCCCTAGAGGACACTATAGCCTCCTCTTTGTCTTGTTGAAGGGGACACTTAAGCCTCCCCCATCAAGTCTTAGGTCCTTTTCAGCTTTGTCTGAACTCTGGCTATGGCCAGATTTTTCTCCCTCTACTCCGTCAACACCTCAACATTTTAACAATGAGAAGCTATTTCTTTATCAGGGTTCTACTATCCAAGGCAATATTCAGATATACCATTTTCAAGCTCCGTCAGGATAAACCAAGCTGAGGGGGCAACTATAGCAAACAAAATAATCAGAGATGGTTGGCGGTTTAATTGGGATGTTTCTGTTCAAATTTCACCCTTTGACCCTGTCCTTTTTTTGTCTTCATTTTTCTACTTCACTCCTTTAACCTCTCCACTCATGAAATTGTGTTTTCTTATTCAATATGAACCCTACTGAGAGACTCACAACTCAGCCAGTTGTAGTTAGCTTTGTAAAGCTCCATGTGCCGCTTAATAACAGATCATCAGTTCTTGACCTAAACTGCATCCCAGTGTTGGTACATTTAGCCCCAAAATTCTGCACTCTTTGCTTTGGCACTATTAGCCCCAAATGAGTTGATTGGACCTTTTTCAAGAATTTGTCTGGTCCAAAATTCTTCTATCAAACCATCTCCCCTATTCCATGTTTCTGTTTTTTCTAATAGTTTCTTTTGTAGCCAATATATGTACATATCAGCCCATGTGAGGCAAGTAGACTTGACAAAAATCACTTATGAACACATGCACTGCAGGCCCGAATCTTCAAATCTTTGGATCTGTTGGGTATATAACAAAATACCTTCTCTTTTTCCTCCCAGCCCCTCCCTCATCAGCATATGAGCATAACACATTATTGTTGCTGATGTTCAGCACTTCATGATCTTTTCTTTGATGTCTGGAGTATTTTCTTACCCCAAGCACTGCAAAAAAAATCTTTCCCAACTGCCTGCAGTTGATATGCAGAGCAACAAAGCTTTTGATGTTACTCCCACCTTTCTCCCAGAGTGATTCAACCAAGCTGTGATGCACAGTCACTGTGCAGACTGCACAGTGACTGTGCCAAAACATCTACACATGAAAACAGGTGGAGTTTAGATTTCAGCTTGGCTGGAGCATGCTGAATGTCAACTGCAGGCAGTTAGCAATTTCTTTTTTGTAGTGAAGGTGACCCCCCAGAAAGGCACCTCAGAGGGGTGAAAAAAAGTGGATTTTTGTCCCCAAAATTCTTACCTACCTTGAGGACAGGCTTGAAAAATACCTTTTTCATGACTAGTGGCTGAGGTATAAAGTTGACCCGTTTCACCAAAAAAAGATTGACAAACCCCTGCAAGAAACCCTCAAAAGAATTTCTTTTTGGGGGCACCCCCCTCTAGGGAGGCTAGCAGGGGTCACTCTTGCGCAGTAACGGATTATAAATTCTCTAACCAAGTATGCAGTTTTTCACCCAATCAGAGTTTAAGTATCTTGCATAGAGTGCATGCATCTCTGGATTTAGCTTCACCCCACCTGCCTTCCCCCATCCCCATTTTTTTTCAATGCATGTTTTTGAACATATATAATTAACATGTTTATTTGCATATTAAGGGACTGTACCAGAGCACTTGTGGATTTTGAAAATTGTTTTTAGCCTTTTTTTATTTCCTTTTTTGAAAACTATTTTCTGACAATTCAGAAACACTCAGCAAAAAGAAATGTGTACCACAGCAAGAACAATCAATAAAAAGGGCAGAGACACTCAAAGATAGGAAGTTTTCAGGAGAAACTAAAAGTGATTATGTTAAAAATGAGTGTTTGATTGAAGGAATGAGTGAGTGTTGTTGTTTTGGAATGACTTCAGGTTTGAGTTT